TTAAAGCCCTCAACCTGTTCCAAGAGTATGATTTCAGGCCCAACTGCAGCTAAGAGCGCAAATGCATGCAACAGTAGACGACCATCAGGGTCGTTGAGGCCGTGGGCGGTCGCAGCCGCACTCCACGGCTGACAAGGTGCTGACACTGCCACAATATTGGGCCTAGAACAAGCAATGCTTTGCGCCCACCACACACTTTCGAAAGTGGCGCACAGGAACCCTGGCGTGTTTTGCTGAAGCAACGGCAGCAGCTCCGTCTGATCTAGAACTTGCACGAGGCCATCATGTTGCAACTTAGCTCCATGAAAGCAGGACTCTTCGGTGTCGAGGAGCCAACGGACCCTGACCGGCAAACCGAAAGACTGAAGAACACGAACCCCTTGACTCCATCCGCAAAAACCCCCTGAGAAGAGTTCAGCCACTTCCAGCTGCGTATGCTGTTGTTGGACGAAGGCGCCTGCAACCACAGCAAGTCCTGTGCAAGTGTCTATAATCGGCACTTCTCCCCCGAGCTGCACGGAGGCCTGAAGAATTCGCAGCCGGTTGGTAAATCTGACCACTGACTCATAGACCGGTGCAGCAATCCGCACCACCACCGCAAGTTTACTATCCACAGCCCATTGGCCAGAGGTCTCGAACCAGCTCGCCAAAAGAACGCCTGAGAGAAGGAAATCCTCCCCCTGACGATTACATCTGCCATCCAATTGCACGTGAAAGGCGGCACACTTCCGCAATGGCCCCAGGTCAAAGGAATCCGAAGCCTCATAAAGCGATTTCACATCTTCCCAGAACCAATTGGCACTCTGAGGTGCAGTATGTTCGGTACAATGACGTTTAGCAGAGGGTGAAGTATCCATGGCAACGATCGGGGCCCTCAGACCACAGCTGCGCCTACTGGAAGGCTCGTGCCACAACAGCTACTATTATGGTAACTTAAATTAAATTCCACAACAAGAACCCAGGAATTGGGTGTCTCCGGGCTGTTTGTTGCTTCGGCTTCGGAGTGGCGGCGACCTCGCTTCTTCCGTCAATCAAGCCCTGGGATGGCCAAAGCATGATCGCGGATCTCCACTTCTTCACCGCTGAATCCGGGACAACTTTAGCCCCAGTCACAGCAAGAAGTGGGCCGTCGGACGTCGCATTGCCCGATTCTTCAACTGTTCCTTAAACTGCCACAGCCTACTTTTTGTAGGTTCTCTTTCTTTATAAACCTAGTATAATAGGACTTTTATAGGGACCCTACAAAAACCGTAGGTTTTGGGTAGTTCAAGGTGACAACTACGACCGCGACGTCGGGCCCCATCTGCAGCTCCATTCACTGCGGCTCCTGGTTCAGGATGCCTCGGGGTCCTGCGGTGCCCAAAGAGCCACCAGGCGAAGAAAACGGGTAGACGTTTGTTGTTGTTCTTCTTTGTTTCCGGGTTCCCTGTCCTCTTACATATTGTTACAGAAGCAAAAAAGTAATGCTAACCCTCCCAAACAATTATTTATGGTTTTTTAAATGGGTTGCGGAACTGTTCTGAATTGCCTAGGCCGCCTTTCTACTGGAACAAGCACATCGTGCTCATCGGCGACTCCCGAATGCGCTATCAGTATGCGTCCCTGGCGTACCTTATCCTGCCATCTCCTGCCAGAACCCACCTTGTCAGGGTTTAGGGTTTTAGGGTTTTGGATTTCGGTGTTTTCGGGCTTATTACGGGTTTTAGGGTTTTTGATTTCGGGGTGTTCGGGCTTATTAGGGGTTTTAGGGTTTGGTGCTTTAGGCCTTGGGGTTTTCTGTGAAGGTACTTCTTCACCTACGATGCCTTTCCCACCGGCACAAACATGGCCTTCCTGGCCAGCGTGGAGCAAGCTCAAAAGGGCTACAACCAGTGGCTCCTTGTGGTGTAGAGCAGGGTATATAAGTGTTTGTAGAAGGGCGTTGTAGGTTTTATTTGTCGGTAAAGGGGTTTGCAGGGCTATATAATAAGGGCCTTTTCAGGCCATTATGGATTTTGCTGTTGTTTTTCCTTTTGGTGTCCTTATCGTGACGCTAGCTAGGTTCAACCGGACCAGCCGCGTCTTGCGGCACGACATGTGCAACTGCCTCTTTGTGGCAAGTTTAGCTCAACGGCTTTCTAAACCCTAACCAAATCCTGACCGCGAACTTTAAACGAACGCAGCAGACTCAACCCTAAATTCTTAAACCTTCAAGTTGAAAAGCTTAGGGATTACATATCCCCGGGATCAGATCCGACTTATATGGATCCCTCATTGTATGTACCCTCACAGAACGAATATGGTACCTTTGAGTCCTTTAAATTTTAAAAAACGCGCGGAGTCCTTCTAGTAATCTGGGCCTTTCGCAGGGTTCCCCGTTCTGATACTCCCAAAGCAAAACTGAAACACACGCTGCTGCCGAACTAACCCAAATCCTAAACCCCTAGATGGCGCGCTATCCGATCAACCCCGGTCGCATAGTAAGCCCTATTCTAGTTATTCAGACCCCCTCCCCCGCCCCCGACACAATAAACCCAGAACGGCCCAAAAAGCAAATTGAGCCTCAAAGTCAACCCTAAACCCTGAACCCTAAACACCCAAAACACCCTCTAAACCCTCTATATAACCCTCTAAGCCGTATCAACCCTCTATATACCCCTCTATATAACCCTCTATATAACCCTCTAAGCCCTATAAGCCCTATAACTTCAGCCCGTGTCGCCCAGGCTTCCGCACCAAACCCTGGAGACCGACTCTTGCGGTGGAGCATCACTACTACCGAAACCCGGTGACCGGGCTCCACCTAATATACGGGCCTTCATAGTTAGACTAAAGTTTTGGGGCCCTGTATACTGTAATTATTATAATAAAGGACCCCCAAATATAGGAGCCTAAACAATTACCAGCATCACTACTACCGAAACCCGGTGGCTGGGCTCTACCTAACATAGGGGATACGGGCCTTCGTAGTTAGAAAAGGGTTCTGGGGCCATTGATGCTATAATTATTATAATCTACCTAACCTAGGGGCCTCATTAATTCGAAAAGGCTTCTGGGGCCCTTTTACATTATATTTAATTATAATTAGGAAAAACCAATTGTGGGGGCCTAAGTAATTAATTACCAATACTATTTTAGGGGTTCCTTATTGTAACTTTCGTTTAATGGACCTTCAAACCCTATTCTAATTATGAAGGCCCCTGCATTACCAAAACTTACCTTCTGTGTAGGCTCCCTCAAAGTTCTATCGTGATTATATGGTTTCTAGGAGGAGCCTACGAGGATGTAGGTTGTGGTAGTTTAAAGTCAGGGCTCGTGAGTTTTTATAGGGGCGTAAAGGTCTCGAGGGTCCATGGTTTAGGGAGTTGGGGCAGTACTCCACAAGAGCTTCTTGAGTGTTTCCCTTTCTTCAACAAGATCCCCCTAAACCCTAAACTCTTAACCCTAAACTCTAAACCCTAAGCCTAAACCCTAAACCCTAATCCAATAAGAAGAGAACCCAGGAGAAGATGCTCGCCATCACCTACTTGCAAAGGTTTGGCACGAACATCATGCAGGGACACTGGAAGGCCCAGACCTTAAACCTTAAACCCCTAACCCCTAAACCCCAAACCCCTAGACACCTAAACGCTAAACCTTAAACCCTAAACCCCTAAACCCTAAACCCCAAACCCTACACCCCTAAACCCTAAACCTTAAACCCTAAACCCTGAAGCCCTAAGCCCCAAACCCCTAAACCCGAAACCCCACTGGAAGGCGGAGGGCACCAGCGTTGACCAGTGCAACTGCCTCTGTGGGCCGAATGAGTGCAACATCCTTCAGATACCCTCCAGATGGAGCCTGGGTTCTTCTTGAGAAATTTAGGGTTTAGGGTTTAGGCTGTATGCTTTACATGCCTATTCTGTCAATTTCGATTAGCTCCGGAACAAAAACCCCAGGAATGTGACCACCATAACAGAGCTCGCGAGCCTTGTCGTCGGCCTCCAACCCGACTTTGCCTCTTGCTTGAATCTCCAGAAAGACACACCGAAGAAACATTCCCCCCTAAGGCCCTAAACCAATAAACCCTACACCTTGAAACCCGAAACCCCTAAGCCCGAAAGCAAAACCTCTAGACCCCTAAACCCTTAAACCCTACACCCGAAGCCCCGAAACCGGAACCGCTAGACCCCTAAAACCTTAAACCCTAAGCCGGCGGACCGAAGAAGCAGCGCTCAAAACTCCAAAAACCCTGAAACCCTAAATCCTAGACCTCTAAGCCCCTAAAACCCTCAACCCTCGAAACCCCTAAATCCTAAACCCCCAATGAAACCCAGGTGATCTTTCATCCGGGCTGGGAGGAGATCGCCAGCTGGCGTCAAGAAGATGTGGTCCAGCTCTTTACTGAGATTCAAGAACCCCGGCTGTAAGGGCTCCTTAGAGGGTTCCTTAAAGGGTGCTATGAGGGTGCCTTTCATAGTCTATAAGGGTTCCTTAACAAAGGGCTCCGTACGGGGTGCTATAAGGGTTCCTTAAAGGGTTCCATAAGGGTTCCTTTACAGGTTCCGTAGAGGGTTCTGTACAGGTTCTTTAGACAAGGTTTCTAGAAGAGTTCCTGCAGAAAGGGGCTGGGCTCAGTGTTTGAGATTGAAGAATCGGGCGCCTTGATACCCAGAGCTGGGTCTAGGTGGACATTCTGCTAAGGAACTTTGGGGTAGGGCCATTCTCGGAGATCCAAAGAATCCTGTCCTGGTGTAGGCCTGCAGGATCTGTAGGGTTTAGGGTTTAGCCGTCTAGGGTTTTCAGGTTTTTTTGGGGGGATGCTTGGGAACTAAGGAAGCGAGACCTAGTGCCCAGATGTACTTCAAGACCCGATTGCTTACTTCCCGGGAGAATCCCCAGACTTTCCTCGCCACCGTCAACAGCCTTTATGCCGACATGTACCAGAAACACCGCTTCGCGGAGCGCGGCTGGCACATGTATGATGTCTCCAATCTCACGGCGAACTGGAAGGTCAAAGACATGAACTGTTCGTTCATGTGGGACAACTTTCACTACGACCTTCCCTCGAACAACGCCTTTAACAAGCTCTTGCTGCGGGCCCTCTTCGGTGTAGACGTGCAATGAAGGCTCTGGTTGCTATGTCGGCATTTCTTGGATTGTCACTGCTTCAACCCTGAACTCTGAACCTCTGCTTTGCCTTACCTTGGATACAGCCGGGACCGAGCATGTTCATACCATCCCATGTAGGATTGATATTGCTGTTTATCTCACAATGGAGCATGTGAGCTTTTCCGGTTTAGAGAATGCCATTTGGGCGAGAAGACTGCTAAGCGTTGCGTCTCTTCCTCGTTGCTGGGGGGCCGCAGAAGATGGAATGCTTGATCAGAGCAGCAGACCCCCACCCTCCCCTCCTCCGTTTTTCAGACTCTATAGCCCCGTCGTCGAATGACGATTCAATTTGCCCTCAAGGCCATGGTTTGTTGGGACAATTCCGGATCCATTCCGCCGACGGTGCTAAAGCTCAGCGAAAAAGCCTGACGATGAAGCCTGACATTGAAGACTCCTTAGATGGGCTGCTTTGACAAAGGGCACTGGAAGACCGGACATGGGGCTTGCAGTAGCAAGCCAAGCTTACTCGCGCTAATGTAGAAGCCGTAATAATTAGAATAGGGTTTTGGGGTATAGTATACAACAGTTATGATAAGGAACCCCCCAAAGCCCTATTCTGATTATTAAGGCCCGTACATTAGGTGGCGTCGGCTTTGGGGGTGTCGGGATTCCGGGCATCAGTGGTTCAGCGAAGTCTGCGTAATATAGGGGCCTCAAGAATTGCCTATACTGTTCTGGGAGTTCCCTATTGTAATTATAGTATAGTTTACCCCAAATTATTAAGGCCCCTACATTACCCCATACCCTATAAAGTCCTAAAGCCTAACCCCCCAGCTCCCACACCGCTTCCTCACTTAACCGCACACTCCCGTGATCCACAGCCTGGTTCCCAAATATACGCGAGATCCTGAACTGAGACCCCGGGCGCCCAGCGCCACCGTCGCAGGGTTTAGGGTTTAGGGCACTAACTCGAGGTCACAATTGCTTGGGAACAGTATCCCTCGTAATAGCCTCATGTCAGTATACTGCAATACACCGGCACCCTCTCGAGAATCATTGAAAAGCCTTCCAGTCTTATTCCAACCATCAAGGCCCGTAGAAACCCAATCCGAGCTAAACCCTAAACCCTGAACCCTACTTATAAAACCCTAAACCCTAAAACCTACTTATAAAACCCTAAACCCTGAACCCGACTTATAAAGCCTTAAACCCGTAACCATCTTAAACCCCAAAGCCCATCATCAAGCCAAAACGCCCACTCCCAAATCTGATTTCCCACGCCTAAGCCGTCCGCAGCTCCTGGCAGATCTTCGCCTTTACCTCGGCTTCTGCAGCGGCAGAGACGAGGAGGCGATCTGAGATGATAAAAGAGCAGGGTTTAGGGGTTAGGGGTTTTAGGTTTTATGGTTTATGGTTTAAGGTTTAGGGGTTCAGGGTTTTAGCGTTAGGTGGTTCTAGAAGAGTCTATAGGGCTATAGCATGCTGTAACAGGGCTGAGGCTCTACAACCTTGCACCCAAAAATGACAGAAGAGTTGCCTTGGGGGGCTCAATTACAAGGGGATTTGTATGGGATATCCCAATGCTAAGGACTTGGGTTCGATATGCGTTTAGGATGTTGGCGCTAGGATTTTGTGCGCAGGGCTTGGGGCTTAGTGTTTATAGGGTTCAATTAGAGTTCAGGCTTCGATATGAGTTTACCGCTGTATCAGATTGGCTAAACCAAGATGGATTGAGGTTCTCGGTGAGAATTTTCTGAGTCTTCTACAAGGGTTCTAGAATTTTAGTAATAATTAGTAGCAATAATAACAATCACAGATTGTAGGGTACCATGAGGAGGGGTTTGGAATTGAGGACTCTTCTGTTGGGACTAGGGTTTTGGGGCTTGAGGGTTTAGGGTTGTAGGGGTTAGGATTACGCTTCTTTACGGCCTCATGGTTTGTAAGGGTTCAGAGGCTGATGGTTCACGGTCTTATAGGGTCATTGGTTGATGGTTGAGGTTTGTGGGATACGGCTTTCTTCTTGGGTTTTGGCTGTGGGATTAATTAGGGCTTGGGGCTTATATAAGGCTGAGCCTTTACTCCCTAGATTGTCCAGGGTTCCTGTTTGAACTTTTAGTTTAGGCTTTAAGCTCTGGGTTCCTGAACCGAAGCCTTCTCCAATCATTAAGGGCTCCTTTGTAAGGCTGGGCGCCGTCTACGTGGCTGCCTTCTCTTTCAAGGCGGCAGAGACCACGGCCAGTGCGGCAGCACGGCTCTTGCTCACGGCGCCAACAGGCCTCGAATGTTTCAAAGGGTTTGATAAGGGCCTCCAAGGTTTGAAGAGGTTTCATACAGAGTTTTACCAGGGTCTGGGGGGTCAGGATTCGGTGCGTCGTACTTATTACCCGGTTGTTACGTGGGCTGGCATGGACTAGGTTCATGCACCGGGGTTTCTGAAAGGGTTAAAGCGGTAAGTAGGAGTCCTTATGACAAGGATCATTCCTTGTCTGCTGGTGTGGAGTGCGAGACGGTTCTATTGGCAACGGTTTGTGTTCTGGTCTTGTCAGGGTTTGTCGGGTTTTTGGATGGTCAAGCTGGGACTCGTTGCATCCAAAGTCGCCCTTCAACCCCAAACCCCAAACCTTCGCAAGACACCCTGGCAAGTCGGCGGGACCATTTTCGCAAATGCCTTTACGTCACCTTAAAAGCCCCTGTCGTATGTTTTTATGTCAATGAGCGCTTAAGCCCCACGGAAAGCTCACAGCCCTAAACCCCAATTCTTAAACCCTAATCTTTAAACCCTCTAATGAAACCCACAAGACTTGTGGATCTCCGGCAAAACCGTGCAAACTGCGATGCAACCGTGATCGAACTGTGCCAAAACCTGTATATCCTTCCAGTAGAACGCTGAAGCATTCTCACACCCGCTGAAGTACACCAAGCCCGAACCCCAAACCCTAACCCCCAGTCTGGAGGCCTCCAGTTCATGGCAGACACGGATTGCAGCCCGGACAGCAGCGCCGCCTTGCTTCCACTGCACCTCGGAAGTATCAGCTGCAGACTGCAAATCAAGCGCCTTAAACTTTGAGGACACCTGGTCACAAGACCTGGGAAGCACCTTGCTGGAGCCTTTGGAGTCCCGTCTCAGCCCACTCCCCATCACAAACCTAAGCACCAAACCCACCTAGAACTCCTTAGCAAACCTGAGCAAGACAAGCCCCCTCTTAACCCAAAAAGGACCGTAGAGACTGCAATAATCTTCGTAGCAATAATCATAGTAATAATGGCAATAACAGTTAATAATCATAATACTAAACCGTTCACCCTAAGCCCTAAACCCGAAAGNNTAAACCCTAAACCCTAAACGCTACAATCCCCAGGCCCTCGGCCAGCGAAGCGGCTTTCTCCGGTGGCCGCGTGCTTCCTGTGGGCTGGTGCACGGCGACGCGCAGGCAGAGGGTTTTGCTGGTTTAGGGTCGTTAAGGGGTCTAGGGATTTAATGGGAGTTAGGGGTTCAGGCGTGTTCGGATTTGGGGTGCTTTTTCGTGTAGGGGTGTAGGGTCAAAGATATTGGGACCTGGGTTTACTGGCGTTAGGGAGCTTGTGTCGGAGGGTTTAACAGTGACTCGGGAGGCTTCAAATGGTGTGTTGGGTCTCATATAGGGGCCTTGATAACCACCTATTCTATGTTGGGGGGGGGGGGGGGGGGG